AGGAGGATCCTGGAATCCCCCAGACCGCCAAGAAGAAGCAGTCATCGTCAGTGGTCTTTTGGGGGAGAGAACAAGAGTCGAAAGCTGGGGAAGAGAGAGGGATGCAATAGGGGGGGCTAAGCTTTTGCGGAGCACGCGGAGTAAATCCTGTTACGACGGGAATACCAATTTCGCCAAGCAATAGCCAAGGTGTTAGTGGGTGGGAACGAATATGAATCTGATACCCACACAAAATATAAAGCATTGGAGCTCGTTATCAGGTGAGCATTACCCCAGCAACTTGGCGGAACTTGGCATCTTGTACGAGGAAGTCATAATAACGCATCCCAATCTTGGCGAGTAAGCTTGGTTGGTTCGTCGATGCTGTTTGCTACTCTTGGCTGCAATGACTCGGTCAAATGGAATTCACTCTTATTTAGGCAAGATGGTCAATAAACTTGGCGGTTATATGCATCCAAAAGTCTCTGCTGTGTCAGTGATGACATCTCTTCCAAGAATGACAATCTTTGCCTCCACGTGCTGGGAAGGATGTGATATTCCCCTTCCCCTCACCCTCTTGACATGTCCCAACGATGCACGCTGATGCTTTTAGCCTTTAGGTGACACGTGGAATCCGCGTGGCTTAGATTCTTTCTCCTCTCCGATCCCGGTTTGTCTCTCGGTAGCATTTTAGCTAATGAGTTTATCTTTGTTATATGTGAGAGTTGCAAGATCTAACTCCTCATAGGGCGGGCTAAAACAAGGCTCGGGTGGCAATTCTCCGACCACGTTTCTGGCCTTCTCCGCATCCGGCAATCAATGCCCGAGACGCTAAACGAGCCCTAGATTGAGCCTTAATTTTTCTTGTATAGCAGAGCCCAGACATTCATTACAGCATCAGACTTGGGGTTTGTCTTGGAAGCCAAGAGAGAGGCGCTCATCTTCCAAGAATTTGTTACCGAGGTTTTGGACAGATCTTGATCCCGGACGAGCGGAGCAAATCAAATCTGATTGAAGTGTTGGGGTTGTTTCGTAATGCGCCCAGGCGCTGATGATGCTTGGTTGTCGAGATGTGAGATTCGCAACATTGCAGATTTGACAGATGTCACCCTCAGTAGATCATTGCTATACACCAAAAATTAAAAAATGCGAATACAATTTGTAATGGAAATTCGGAATTTGCCATCAAAGTCAACAATTTTTTTTCTTGATTGCCGATTGAGGGCTTGATGATTCACTTGTCACGCTCATGGGAATAACATCGAACTCACTGGAAGCTGTTCAAACTGCCAGCCACCTAACAACCAACGCGCTCACCTTGTTTGCGTCAATACTGATTGGCCAAACTATCGGTATTTTCCATCCATGTCTTCGGTTACCGGCGTTTTTAGACCCCATCGCCGCCGGACGGCTCATTCACCGTTTCCGGGGCAAGGGTTGGGGTTGCAGTTGTCGACATGAAAATCTTGATCCATGCCATGTCCCTTCGGATGTGATGATCCAGGACTCGGAGTTACGGTGAGCCAATTGACGGGCGCTTACCTCAGTCTAGAGAATTCAGAATATCTTGGTGAGACATGCATTTCTCAACAAGATCAAGGTTACATGCATTGCTTGGCAATAACCCCTAATATCAACATAGCCCCCGGGTCTTGTCATTGGCAGTTGCAGAGGTACCATCTCACTGTCCAAGCTCTTGTCAAAAATGGTGATGAACTGATGGGACGGTCACTTATACTCCGTAGCACGGCCCTCGAAATCGAAGGTCCACTATCACGGAATCCGCTTATCTGCCCCAGATTATAACGTTTAGGAGCAAGTTGCTTTGTATCGAGATTAAGTTCTTGTATGAGCCCCAAAAATGGGTACGGGATCTTGGGTAATGGCTTGGCGAAATGCTTATGTTGTACAGCGTGGCTGTTAGGGTTGGAAATGAAGTTGGGTCTCACGAGCGAGGCTGAATTGGTGCAACATTTTAATTTTAATACGAATTTCACGGCGCAAATTTCGGAAACCTATTTTTGAAAGCCTTTCAGCTACTGTCTCAGTCCTTTATGCACGGCAGTGGGCTTTGCCAGGCTGTTCTTGGAGCGCGCTTCGTGAGATCAAGTCGGCATTGCGACCGCACCAGCGCTTGCGAACATTCTACCAAGTGTTGAGAATGAGTCAGAGCGATCTATCACAGTTCATTCATGATCTGTGATAAGATGCCGGGCCGTTACAAAGATAAGCTATCGGTTCCGGGCCGGAACCGATATTTCCTTTAGAGGCTCGATCAGCAAAAAGCACTACACATGACAATCGCTAGCGCGACGCGTTACCTTTGGAGGCAAGAGGAGAGCCGCGTTTTATAACCTCCAAAGGCAAGGCTTTGGTGACGTTTCCCCTCTCTTGGGCAATACATTGGGGCTTTGGTGGCATATCAGGAACAAATCTCAAAAAACACCAACCGGGCCGGTCGTGAAGTTTATCTTGCATCGTCTATGTCATTAGAAGGCGCAACGTGATCAGCTACCTACCACCGCACTTGGCCAACTTTCTTCTGTTCATATATAAACTTCAGACTCTTTGGTGATATTTTATGTTCATCCTGAAACACTCCGCCATTGCATTTGAGCTTGTAGACTATCGACACCACAACAATGACCGCTGCATCGCCTCACCCATTTGACCCTCTGTCGCCCGAGGAGATTTCGAGGGTCAGTCTTTATCAATGAATAATTCTCAATCTTAGCAACAATTAGCTGAGATATCTAGGCTTCACGGATCGTGCGCCCCCACTTTGGCGATCATGACCCCAACTTCCGCGTCATCACTCTTCTTGAGCCCGCCAAGAAGGAAATGATCGCATATCTCGAAAAAGAGCATCTCAATCAACCCATCGACCATGCGCCAACTCGTCATGCTCGGGTGGAGGCTTCCATCAAGGCCGAAACCGAAGGGAATCACCTTTTTGAACTTATTGTCGATCTTGACACCAACAAAGTTGTCAAGAAGCAGCATGTTGAAGGGAAGCATTCATATATCGATACTGATTACATGAAAGCTGTTGAAGCGGCTTGTCTTGCCAATGAAGAGGTCCAGGCTCTCATAAAAACTCTTGATCTGCCTGAAGGAGCGACTGTTGTCGTTGAACCATGGGCCTATGCGACGGATGGAATGAATGATATGACCCATCGAGTCAGCATGGTAAGCCTCTCTTTGCGCTGTGGGTGCCTGGTATACTAAATCTGAACAGTGTTGGTTCTACGTACGATTGTTGGAGAACCCTAATGCGAACTATTACGCTTATCCTTTGGATGTATGCGCCGAGGTATCGGAGTCTCTTGGGGTCATGAAAGTTTACCGACTACCAACTACACCGGACGAAAGAGCAAACAACGAGAAAAGGCCGTTTGATCGTCGAAGAGTCCACTCTGCTGCCACTAGCGAATATCATCCCGACTTGCGACCAAACCCCAGGACTACCACCAAGCCACTACATGTAACCCAGCCCGAAGGTCCTTCATTCCATATTGAAGGCAATCGTCTAACTTGGGAGAAATGGGAACTTCGAGTTGGCTTCAACTACCGAGAAGGCCTCACTCTCCATGACGTTCGATATGATGGGCGAAGCTTGTTCTATCGCCTTTCATTGGCCGAGATGTTCGTACCATACGGCGATCCACGAGCCCCATATCCACGAAAGGCTGCGTTCGATCTTGGTAACGATGGCGCTGGTATCAATGCCAATAATCTCCAGCTTGGCTGTGATTGTCTTGGAACAATTAAGTACTTCGATGCTTATCACAATACGTCGTCCGGTGAGCCTTTAAAGCTACCGAATGTCGTCTGCTGCCATGAACAGGACGACGGAATTCTTTGGAAGCATACCAACTTCCGCACGAATGTTCCAGTCGTAACTCGTTCTCGAATTTTGGTCCTGCAGACTATCATAACGGTCACCAACTACGAGTACATCTTTGCCTGGCACTTCGGTCAAGATGCTTCCATCTTCTACGAGGTTCGGGCAACAGGTATTCTCTCCACGGCACCAACCTCCATGGATCACAAGGGAACATATCCTTATGGAAATATCGTGGCACCTGGTGTTCTAGCTCCATACCACCAGCATCTCTTCAGCCTTCGCATTGACCCTGCGATTGACGGTCATATCAACTCCCTCGTGGTCGAAGAGTCCAAGCCACTTCCCATCGATGATCCAGCCGTGCACAATCCTTTCGGCGTAGGCTACGTCACCGAGAGTCAGACCATCGAAGAGGAAGGAGGCTTTGATCTTGACTTTACGAAAGCGCGCACCTTTAAATTCGTCAACGAGAACAAGATCAATCCTATTACCGGCACCCCAGTCGGCTTCAAGCTCATGCCCTTCTACAGCCAGATGCTTCTGGCGCACCCTGAATCCTTCCATGCCAAGCGCTCGGAGTTTGCGGAGCATGCAGTGTGGGTAACCAGGTATGAAGACAATGATCATTTCCCTGCGGGAAATTACACGATGCAATCAGCCGGAGGCGACGGCTTGGCATCTGTAATTGCGAGGCGCCGAAACACCGGAGTTGCTCACTCCGTGCGGAACGAGGATATTGTCATTTGGCATACTTTCGGTTCCACTCATAACCCGCGTATTGAAGATTGGCCTGTTATGCCGAGTGAGAAGATGATGGTTGGCTTGAAGCCCGTGAACTTCTTCTCTGGAAATCCGGGGTTGGATGTCGCGCCTTCGACGCAGGAGAAGAATCAGAGTGTGCTCTACATAGGAGAGGATAAGAAAGACTCTGCATGCTGTAGTTCCAAACTCTAAAGACTGACAACGGTTAGAATCCGGTTCGGGGTAGGATTCTTGATGAATAGAGGCTTCGAAATTGAAGTTATTGGTCTTTCGGATTTTATCTAGGTAAGCTTAAGGTAACTTAGAGTAACTTAGAATAGTTCTAGATAAACTTGATATATTCTTTGTTCTGCCTTGCTTCTAGCTTATAATTAAGCCTCAAAAAGAAATACCACAAATGTTACCTAGTTGCTCAAGTTCTTAACCCACCGTTAAGCTGACGCAGGGTTGGAAAATGTCGAGATACACTACCATCCGGATAATAGTCAGCACGATCGAAAAATGCCCATGCTCTTTGTCGGTAGATTTTCCTCTGTAGGGCAGAATAAACAGAAAATCTCTGCATCCCATAAGCGAATGTGATGCTACCGTTGTCCCGGAGTGCTTGGCCGACCTCTGACCAATCGTCCCATTGTCTGTCATGTAGCGGAGAGGAGTATTCTCCTTCTTCGAAGATATCAGACGTTAGCGGAACCCTAGTCCAATCCAATTGCTGTAGGCGCATGGGTATCTCAGCCATCAACCGTATCGGACATCCCCTGTTGTCTCTGGGGCCGCTAAGAAGCCGAGTCATCAGATTAAATCCAAGGAATCCAAGTTGACGCGGTACTTGTTTCTTAGCAAATGCATCCCTCAAAAATGTGTCAGGCGAAAACCATATATTATTAGGGAATATCAATCCGCCCTCTGGGTTTAAATTGCCTTTCTCCGCGGCTGTTTTCGCTGGTATGTCGGGAAGTCGAGAATTGGCATGATGAGCGAAAACACCACCACAAAGGTCCCTCATATAATAGTGAACGCATCGAAGTCCTTCAGCCTCCCCGTGGCTCAAGTTCTTGAAAGCTGAGGTAACCGACCCCGAGAGTTCATCACCACGTGCTTTAGATGCCAGCTCATATCTGATAAATGCTCGGAATAGGCGATTTCTCTCAACGTCTGTGAGCGAATCAACCCTGAGGATATCGATGCCAATTGGGTTACCTCTAAACTGCAGCTGGTTGGCATTGGAGTAAGGGTTTGGGATACACATATAAGCGCGAGGCGGGAAGATCGATGTGGCCTTTGTGATATAGTCCTCAATGTATATCTCAAGTTGAGCGTAGAGCCTGTCAAGTCGATCGATGGTAGCCGAATCGCGGTGTAGGAATGGGTTCGGAAGGTGTCCTTTACTCCATTTCTCGATGTGTAAGAGTCGGTTCTTCGAAGGGAAATTTGCAACGGCCAGAGCGTCTTGGAGTAGGGTTCCAGGAAGCTCAGCTTCAAGGTGAGCCCGTTGGATATGCTCTTTCGATCCAAGATAATGTTGGAGCATTGTAGGTGATGCAGAGAGAAGCGGTCTGATGCTCGATCTGGACCTGAGGCAGAGTAAGATCATCACACTGATCTCGGGGGGAAGAGATGAGAAACCATCCATGCTTACTAAAGCTTGTGGAGGTATTCAAGAGTTGCTGTTGCTTTGAGTTGTTGTAAGATGAACAGATGAACAGATGTGCAGGTAGAAGGATGTCCGCTTTTATAAGTTTGTGGAGATGTGCGCTCTATAAAAATTGGCTCTCTGTTATTGCCCAAAATCAAACCTTGATGTGCAGTCGAATGAACCCTATGGGCAAGACAAAAACAAGTTTTCTTAGGACAAGGCTAATCTTGCTTGCTTAGTCTCGTCTTATGCAGCAGTGTCAGCCTCATTTGCGAACCACGGTGAGGCAGAAAGTGGCGTTACAGGCTACAGCTCAGCTGAAAAATTGTGATAAGAAATTACTTCCCCGCTTTTTCTGAGATATTAAGAAGATGAGAAGGAACTCTGTCCTCACGAAAAGTGATCTAAGTTCGCTGTGCTGATTTAAGCTCTCAGCCATCCCAAGATACGTCTCAACCAAAATGTCAAGTTCAGATGATGACTCAGACAGTGGTATCACTGTCTCTGATGACTCGGATACCGAAAGCATTGTCAGCGAATCTGAGGGGGACGAAGAGTCGGGCTTCGACGAAATCGATCATCAGTTCTCTGATAGTGATGGTGGCAATCAGTTCTCGGAGTCTGTATTCCTTGAGGGAACCGAAAGTGCTTTCAACTGTGTGTATAAGTCTGTTCACAATCCCATAATCGGGAGGAAATTAATGGACTATAGTACTGTTCTTCGCTGGCGGCAGTATCACTGGTGCCATTGCCCATACTTCCGACACCAATAACACTATAGACCAGCCCACGGTCCACACTGCCGGTATGTCAAACCCAATTCCTGTACCTTTTTGCTAAACCTTGTCTAAGTCTAATGCCAGACGCGGAAGACGACTTGGACGATGTGAACCCTGGTAGCAATGATAGTCACTCGGTGACCAACACAGCTGCTTTGCATGCAAGCCAACTGTCCAATGCTGTACGGGCGTTGGAATCAAGTGTTTACAATGACATGTGTCTCGATCATTTAAGCATGCCGTATCCAACACAAAACTATGAAACAACTGCTCAACTTGTTGATACCTCTCGCAATCCCGGGTTCTTGGAGTACCTAGGAGGGCGCCTTCAACGTACATTCTTCCAGCCAAATATATATGCCCCTTTACCCTCGCCCTCGCACATTCGGGTGCTTTCCATCCAGCCTGGATTGACTGAGGACACTCTGGTGGCCTCGTTCGAACTCCTGGATCTGAACGCAGCAAACATTCGATTTGAGGCTATTTCTTATCAGTGGAGTGAGGGTGGTGGCCAGAAAGCGTCTATGCGTCTTGTAGGCGAGAACATATCTATCAACGCGTATCTTCGAGGTATTCTGCTGCATCTTCGGCTCGAGCAACACATTCGGGTTGTATGGGCGGATGCATTGTGTATTAACCAATCTGACCACGCGGAACGTCTTCAGCAAGTTAGCATAATGCAAAGGATATACTCCCAAGCTTCCAGAGTGATCGGATTTGTTGGCAAGGACTATACCCATGCGAGTATGTGCTTCAATGCCATCAAGGCTCTGACTTCAGCATGGTTCAAAGTTCGGAAAAGCTTTGGTCAGAACGATAGGTCCTCTGCGACGCCCGATAACATATATGGCTGTGTTCAGAACGAGGCTTCTATGGGCAGAATCGTTGAGCTATTTCAGAGTGGCTACTGGAAGCGATTATGGGTTGTCCAAGAGCTAGTCTCCTCCCGTCGTGCGATCATTCGATGGGGAGACGCCGAGATATCCTGGACTTTGCTGGGGCTTGCAACGACTCTGATCAGGAACAACAAAACATTGATGACGATATTCAATCGTGTCAGCAAGTCAAAGAAGTCTCCTGGTCCTTTCCAAGCAAGCTTAGACGCTCGGACGGGTCTGATGAACGCTTATCTCATGTACCGAATGTCTTCAAATCAGTTTCGGGGCGATTCAATGTCATTTTTGGATGTACTTCGACTAACCCGAAATTTCGACGTTTCAGAACGTTTGGATCGAATATACGCCATCTTGGGCCTTCCGAGTCAACATACGGGGCCAGGGCGCACGTCCATACCTCCAGATTATCGCCTACTTCCAGATGGCTTATACAGCCGCTTCTTCTACTGGGTCTATCAAACTCACGATAATCCGCTCGAAATCCTTTCTGCAGTCCGGCATACATCTCTATTTTACCCTGATTTTCCAACATGGATACCACGTTGGCACGTGAAACCGATTAGGAGCATTGGTATCTCTCATAGAGCCAGTATGAAGTTTAATGCGTCAGCTGGCTGGAAACCGAATCCTCCTGCAAAGCTAACTCGGAATCAAAACGAGCGGTATTTGATCCTCCAAGGATTTGTCCTCGCATCAGTAACATCTGCTCACCGGGTGTTCCCTACAGCAAGCACGAAGGATCGCCGATCCCGTCATAAGAAACTCAAAAAGCACAATGCCGAGCTGAATCACTGGCTGAACGTGCATGTGCGTACCCATAGTAGTATAGAGGCTCGGCTGTCTCTGGTCTTGACAGCTGGTCAGGATTGGTACGGTAACATCTTGAGGGAGCAGAACAAGACAAATGAGCATATTTTTTCGTTTTCAAAGTGGATTCGGGATTACTTCAAAAACGCAAAGCTTTGCGATGAAGAGGCTATTAGATACGGACAGACTGTGAGCAACGTGTGTCGCGACCGACAGATATTCAGAGCGACGAATAGTTTGCTAGGAATTGGACCTAATCTTCTCAAGAAAGGCGATTTGGTATGTGTTGTTGCTGGAGGCCCTGTTCCTTATATTTTACGACCCTTGAGTGATGACACGTTCTACTTTGTCGGAGAGTGCTATGTCGCGGGATATATGTTCGGAGAGGCCGTGTCGGAATGGAGGTCCCAAGCACGGGCATCCTCGAGTTTACGACGATTTATTCTAAAGTAGAGTCAGGGTCTTATCCGTCTGCTCTATGCTTTGATTAAAACTCATCATTTCTTGGTTGCTGAATAGTAATATGAGACAGGTGATCAACACTTTGACTTGGCTAGAGCCCGTAGCTTATGTGCTTTCCTATTACTAGTGCGACGCTATTGGAACATGGAAACCTCAGTACCTCAAGTGCTGTGATGATGACGATCAGTACGTCATAAAGCTACTAGTGTTCCTGCCTCTCTCCTGCACCAAGTTAATCTTATAACCAAATGTCACCAGGTCTCAACAGTCGCTACTTAAGAGATATATTCGTGATTTAGATAGATCATTTCCTCCTCAAGCTATGTCCTTCTGTCACTTTCTTTAGTATTATCCATAGAGAAACAAATTTAGAAAATTTACATATAAATTTTATTCATTTAAGGATGGGGAACAAAGTATATCTAAGTGCCCAGTTACATTATTTAACTGTTAGGTACCCTACACTCAGCACTCAAAGTGTTTAAAAGTGGAGAACCAGAGGTTGAGCCCTGTCTTAAGACACGGTAACTGGCGAATGAAAACAATGAACAGCCGGAAACCTCCAGAAAAAGAAAATGGTACAGCAAGCAAGATGAGCAAGAAGAAGCAAAGTATCCAATAAGGAGCGTTCTTTTGCAAGACAGAAAGAGTTTTCACCACCGTGCACGTTGGCTAGTCAGCCTCATCTCAATCTCGCCGAGCCCAGTAAAAAAACTCTGCAATCGCTAAACAAACCGCTTAGTCACTGTATCCACAACAACTCTCTATAAAAGTCTGCTCTGCCGCCGACCATTTGGACTTTTCTTCTTTTCTTCTTCATGTCGACAATACTTCAGAGAATCATTTCTATAGTATTCGACCTTCTCTTGGTTCCCTAAAAGAGCCACAGATCCCACCCTGGTTGATGAATGAATATCCTCGATGCCCTAGAGTGAATACCCTTTTCTGGTCCTCTCGATCTGTCCGCAAGGATGGCGGTGGTTGCTCTTTTGAGTGGCTGCTGTATAGAGAGATGTTACTCTTGATGATCTCGGCCCTTGGAATGGTCTGCCTTCGGGCGCGTTCTTAGGGCGGGCATTGATGGACGTCTGACAGGCTTCTTTTTTCATTGCTTTCTGAGGCTTGCCTTGGTAGTGAGGAAGAAATGTGAATATTGTGAATTGCACTGGTACAGATATCTTATTTAGTCAGATACATAGTGGGTTGTAACACGCCCAGTTGACGAGACCAAGAGGCAGCAGCTCCTATGTATGTATGTACCTGAAGTTGACTGCACTATCCCATGATGACAGGGATGACCAAATGGCTGTCGTAATTACCTCCTGTATGAACATAGTGTCGCCCGACATTCTCATCCTCTGGTTCCGTCAAGCGACACAAGTCAGTTTCAGGCAGACACATATCATGCCCTGAAACCTTCAGCGCTATCCCCTCTCCAGCAGCAAACACCATCCCAATCGGCCAAATTGGGATCTCTAGGCGGACAATTGTACCCGGGCTGATGGGCTTTCGAACGCGGTGGCTGTGCAAGACGTCTGTCTCGCGCGACAGATCGTCGGAAACAACAGGCCCGCCATCTCCATGTAGAGAGACGCTGTGCGAAGCTCGAAGGAAGCCCTGCGGACCTAAAGTCTTCGCTGTGTTTACTTCGGGTACCTCTTCAATAGAAACAGGACAAGGGTAGTTGAGATGCGAGAGTTGGCGGCCTTTGTTGTCGATCTTGCGGATCTGCACGACGACGTCGAAGTCATCATAGTCGGGACATGACATATGTAGCACTGCCTTTGGGTAGCCAGCCAGCTCAGTTGCGACGTCAAAGGTAACTGTGAAGGTCTAGAGTTTGGTAAGTACCTGCGTAAGCTTTGGATATAACAGGACTCACAAGCCCATCGCCTAAACTCCGTCCTTCATATGACTTTATGCATTTCTGATCTGGCTTCAGATCCATGAGCTTTCCGGTTGTTCCATCGAGGTATAGAGTTCGGAGCCTTTGTCTTGCAAGTGGATAACTCTCCTCAGGCCTTTCGATGACAGTCGTAGCGGAACTCCCATCTGCCTCGAAGCCAAGCAGTGAAAGCCTGACCCGAGGCGTTGAGGATTCCCAGTTGGCGGTTTTGGAGATGTCAGCCTTGCAATAGAAGTCGAAAAACCGTTGAAGTTCATCCGAGACGGATGGCAGATACATGTCGTACCCTTTTCAGTCAACAGATTAGCGATGCTCAACCATGAGTATAGGCCCATACTGCACGCAGTGCCATGAGAAGGACTAAAGAAACCAGCTTTCCTTACACTCTTGATACGGATGGACACGAAGCCACTTCTTGTCTGTCTTGGCTTTCCGGAAAGTCTGGAACGAGCCATACGTGTGCAACATACTTGAGTACGAAGCAACAACGTACATAGGAATATTGTCGATGTTCTCAACAGGAATTCTCTTAGCCTCCCAGTAGTCGTCGTACAGCGGATGTTTTTCAAGCATGGCAACAACATTCTCAACGCCTTCGGGCCCCGCAAGCCCGTTTGAGATCATCCGGTGAAAGCCAGGAATATGGGGACGTCCACCTCTGGCAACATAGTGACGATACAGATCCGTATAGCCTTCCCAGGGTGCAATCGCTTTCAGTGCAGGATGGTGCATTCTGGAAGCAAAGTTGATCTGCGATATAGCCAACCATGAGTTCCCTGCCATAACGACAGAGCCGTTGCACCAAGGCTGTTTAGACAGCCAGTCGATGACGTCGTAAACGTCCTCTGCTTCTTGAATGCCCCAGCGTGCAATAACTCCTTCGCTATGCCCAGCACCACGAGCATCGATGTTCAAAACGGCATAGCCCCGTTCGGCCCACTCGGCAGGATCGGGAGCCTCGAACTTTTCGTAGCCCGATGTGCGATCAAGCGCGATTCCGGCTCGATAAGGAGCCATGAAGTCGTAATTCTGAGGACCAGTACCAGTCTTACCGTACGGGCTCCACGGAAGGATACACGGGACAGGCTGTGTATCTGATGAGTCGGGGCGGAAGATGTCTGCGTATAAACGAGCGCCATCGCGAACCGTAATGGCTTGGTCTCGCTCGTACATAGTTCGTACACCGAAGGGCCGGCGACCCGGATAGCGGACATGGCCTGCTTCTAGGATTCGACGTCCTGGTTCGAAGCCGTCGTAATTGAAACGGGGATGCTCAGGTGCTGGGGTGATTTTGGATATGATGGCATCGGGGAATAATTCCTGGATTTTTTGGGGTTTGGCAGGTAGGTGAGTAGTTGGTATCATCTCGATTTACTTACAGAGTCAAAGGTGAGCTGATTTAATCTAGTGCTATCCTCCTGAGGATACAGATGGAGTAGAATAACCCATTGCACGTAAAGGCCATCTTATAAGATGCTTCTGATTTGGGCATGTCCTGATAAGACTTCTCCGCTCTTACACTGCCGGACCTGCCGGGCTGATACCAAGGTTCTCGGCAGTTACTGCGAAGCCGGCTCAAAGTTTGTTTTCCCATGCCTGGACACATGAGGTTGTATGGCAGACTTGACCAATTTTAGTTAGCGGCGGGGGAGATGGGCTATCGGGATACGGACGGAATGAGATCGGAAGTTCCGTAGTTCATAAGAATGATTGCTTCTCTCCTTGACTTCTGATAATTCCCCAGATTTGTCCTTAAATTGATCAATATCATTACTCCCTGCTTAAGATATATACTCGATAATCAATAGCTGTATATCTTTCACCACTCATCCACTGTCACCATGGTTGCTTCAAGAGTTGATCCCGCCGGTTAGTCACCCTCAAACCATCGGCTACCTTTCGTTCCGGCCAAACGCTAATAATAGACGGTATAAAACAGACGCCCTTCAGGTTGCTGCAGTCACTTTCGACTGGGGAGATAGCCTCGACGCAAAGGTTTGTATAGCCATTCCATTGGCAAGAACAAACCCGTCTAACCGACTCGCAGGACTGGGAACGCCTCGCCAGCATCGTCGCCCCGGAACTGGTTGTATGAGTTCCTGAAAAAAGCACTTAGCCATTTTTCCCGCTAATAGAATATCCTCAAGGTTGATTACACCGTCGTAACCGGTGAGAAGTGGGATGCCATGCCAGCCAGAGACTTTGTCGCCATGGTTTCGGACCCAGGGTTTGTCGGCGACCCTCTTGTTGTCAGCCAGCATTTCATTGGAGCTTCTAAATACGAAGCTCTCTCTGATGGCCGCATAATCGGCACTCACCAGCTCCGAGCTGCCCACCAGCGATACACAGGGCCCGATAAGAAGACTGTTGAGGCCAAGGGCCACTGCCACGCCGTTATGCAACATACTTACGCAAAGGTTGATGGGGAATGGAAGTTGGCGGGCTTGAAGCCGACCATGTACTGGAATGAGCATGATTTTTCCAAGATTTTCAAAGGAAGCCAGTGAAGGGTGTTTACAACACGCGATAGCTCAAATAGAGTCCAAGCACCTTTTTAATCAATGTTGTTCATGCTCTTGATGCCAGATAAATCCCGATCGCTTATATTGAGAGATGCGACTGATCGTTCAAGATTAAAACAAAATGCGGTACTCATCTCCCTCACTTCATGCTTGAGTAAATACGGTCTGGATCGTTATTGCATCAACAAAAGAGAGTTGAAGCTGGTCAATTTAGTTAGGACAGAGGGAAACAGCTTATGACTGTCAAAGCGCGTTGCTTATCGTCGCGTAGACTACGCCCGCCCAGGCTAGAAGGCATAACACAGTAGGCAAGTTTGCGCCATGACCTTTTCTGTCCGAAACATCAATCACATGAGACTAACGTTAATGCGCCAAAATAAGGTTCAAGATGGAAATACGACGTCAATGCGCAGGACCTTGCTTGCCGTCTCCTCATGGCTTATAACTACCAAGGCATGTTTCCAGAAATCTTCATGGGCTTGATTTCCTCCACGACATTCTTTTAACCTATACACTCTTTAATCATGTCTGACAGATCTTCGTGCGAGTACAGTGAAAGGGCTGGGGAAGCTAAGGAGAAGAACAATGTCTCTAAGAAGAGTTTGCTGTTACTACTTGTAAGTCCATCTTCATCCTTCGAACAATTGCGAGCTGACGAGCTACTTTCAGTCGATCAACCTTGTTTACTTCGTTCAAGTTGCCAATGTTGTTGGATCTGGTGCATTGACCAGAGACATCTCCGCTGTTGTTGGCGGCTCCAATGACTCGGTCTGGTACAGTGAAGTCATCGCAATCTTGACAGCTCTTCTCGGTATCCCCGCTTCTCAAGCCTCCGATCTCTGGGGTCGCAAGAGGATACTCGTTTTCTTAACGAGCTGTGGCTTTATCGGTTCCCTCATCATCGCTAAAGCTTCATCTTCCGGCACGGCCATCGCTGGGTTTGCCTTCTCAGGTATTTCGTTCGGTGCGCAACCACTTCTCCACGCCATTTCCTCTGAGGTCGTCGCTCGCAAGTATCGTCCTTGGGCACAGGGAAGTATCAATGTTGCTGCTTCTCTAGGAGCAATAGTTGGTCTTTTAATAGGTGGCGTATTGACTAGACATGAACATCATGATGGCTTCCGGGCCTACTGGTACATGGTCGCTGGCATATATGCAGTCGCGACAGTCGCATGTCAATTGTTTTATAACCCGCCTCCAAGAGCCTTGGAAATTGTCCTCAGCGTGTCAGAAAAGTTGAGAAACCTAGACTGGATTGGATACGGCTTCTTGACTCCAGCGCTTGTCTTCTTCTGCATGTCTCTCGCCTGGAGCGGGAATCCATATTCATGGACTGATGCTCATGTGCTGGCCACATTCCTCATTGGCATACTTTCTGGAGTGGCCCTTATCGTCTATGAGACAGTGGTCAAAAAGAACGGCATGTTTCATCATCGTCTCTTTCGCGATCGGAACTTTGCACTCGCTTTGGGCTGCATATTTGCCGAGGGCATGGCATTCCACTGTGGCAACAACTATTTCGCCTTTGAAGTCAGTGTTCTCTTTGAAACTGATAGTCTTGTCATCGGTGCCCAGTACAGCATGGCCTTCATAGCTCTGGGTATTTCTGCTCTCGTGAGCGGTGTATGGTGTTCTATGAGTAAGGCTTTACGTTTCCCGATCATCCTGGCTTTTGGCTTCAAGATCCTGTTCATGATCCTGATGGCTACTGTCTCCAGGTCCACGCCTCAAGCTCTCATCTGGATATATCCCATAACTTTAGGTCTCGGATTGGGCGTTTGCATGCCAGCGCTGATTACAGTAGCTCATTTTGCAACACCTCGAGAACTGATCGCGATTACATCCGGTCTCATGATCTCTATTAGAAGTCTGGGAGGATCTATTGGCCTGGCTGTCTTCAACGCCATCTTCTCTCATGGACTCTCATCTAACTTAGGACCCAAGATATCTCATGCTGTCTTGCCACTTGGCTTTCCCGAAAAGGAGTTGCCTCAACTCATACCCGCCCTTGCGCACAACGATACAGTGGCGCTCAGAAATATTAACGGCATTTCTCCAGAGATAATTAGCGCTGGTGTTGATGGTCTTCTGGAAGCTTACCGTGTAAGCTTTCGCGGGGTCTGGCTGACCACTGCGAGTCTGTGTCTCGTCGCTAGCATCGGTGAGTGTATAATTGATTTCAAGTGAAGCTCAGTGGAGTTTATTGCTAATTATTCGTCTAAGCTGGTTTCTTTCTCCGCGATCCAACTGAAAAGTTCACTTCCCAGATCGACGCGCCCATTTCACCAGATACAGATGTTGTAGACATTGAGAATAGGACAAAGAGTTCAGGGAACTCCGCTTAGGTGGCCATACATCCTGTGACAGGGGAATTTCAGAGTTTTAGATCTTAATACGGTAATGAAAGTTACTACCTCCATATTTTTACTACTAGCTACTGTTCTCCAAGGTCATAAAGCCCATTTAAGGAAACCTCACAAATGGGGCCACATATGTTGTCATGTACACTCCCTTCTTTTGAGAGAAGTTGAATGAGACAAAGGTATGCTCAGTTGGTGTTGTGACCGTTTCGTCAATGACATCACTCCCACTGTAGCTGTCAGTTCCATAGCCGTCTTTGTCAGTAGTTACTTACTATGCATCCGACACAATCTTGTTATATGTGCCCTCTATGCCCCAAGCCCATCCTCTCTTCCGAAACACCTTCTCCATGGCTTCTGTAGCGTCCTTGTCGTTCTTGGAGTATTGATTCAAAGGCACATAAATCTTGACATCGGGGATGTCTTGGCCAGGCTTGAGTTCCCAGCTGAAGCACGCTCCGCTAACATCAGGTTTATCCTCTAATATTTTCTTTGAGAACTTCTCATCAAACTCCTTGTCCTCTGGCTCGTTTATGAGCAGATACCACATATCGCGAAGGATCGCTAGACCTTCCATTGTCGTTTTATCTGTGACTTGGCCTCCCAGGGTGACGTGCTGTACAACTGCTTCCCAGGTATTGGACTGGGGTTCAATGTAGATCTTGACTCGAGCACCTTCTTCAGGACTTACGCAGTCAATACCAATAACCACGGTTAATGGTGGATCTTGGTACAGCTTGCTCTGGTACCGCTCGATCATGTCGATAGCTGGCCCAAATGATGGACCAAGAGGGTCAAGTCGTCGGATGAGGTCAAATCCAGCTCTATCTGAGTTTTGCTTTGCTGTCATCCACTTGATAACAGGGTAGAAGTACGCCTTCATAGCCTGCTTGTCCTCCTTGAGATCGAAGGCTAGAAACACCTTGGGGATGCGAATAGTGTCCTTGGGCATTTTCTCCGCTAAAATGACAGCATCTTCCTCGGAAGGATAGAATTCCGCGGCAAACTGATTGAACCAGCGGAGATCAGCACCTGTCTTCTCGGCAATCCTTAGAATGGGATCTTCAGTGACACCATCTGAGCCTGGAAACACGGGTTCGTAGCAGAAACGGACGTATGACTTGCCGCTGTCACTATTGTTGAGGCTGGTTTCGAATGGTGAGCCATTTGGGGTCAAGAGTGATCTTGCGCGGTCCTTTTCAGGCGCATGCCCCATGGTAGGGATGATATAGTTCTCAAGGAACTCGAGATGAGCAGCTTGTTGTTCGGGAGTGTAATCCCCAACGGATTTGAGAAGAGAGGTGAGAACTGGCTTGGTGTGCTTCGTCCAGAAGACTATACCATCTTCTTTTGCTTTGAGATCTGAGGGCTTACTACTGGCAAGTTAATTCGGTCAGCATATGAGGTATACTCGGAAGTTTTGTCTCACCTTTCGGCTGTGCTTCGAAGAGCTTCTTCGTGGTCCGTTGATGCTGTAGGCATTTTAGGAGTTGGAGGCTCTAATGTTGATGCCATATTGCGAAGAGTGAGTCTGGTAGCGAGACTGGGTCATGAGCGAAGGTTATCAGCGCTGCCTGCTTTGCTGGTGATGGATGGTTTTGTAACTGCTGTGATGCTCTGTCCGAGACACCCGTAGGGGCTAATATCTGACGGCGGGGCCAGTGAATAATAGGCACCAGCTCACTGAGATTTAGCGCATAGCTACCCGCAGCTTTTATAGCTCTGACTTTAAGTGCTCTCTTGACTCGGACAAAGCGATTCAAACAATCACAGTTCAATTAGCGTTTCGCCTCTGGTTCGTAAATCTCATTGCTGGCGCTTACTTCCTTTCGATCATGGGCAATTTTGATAAGCGATTCACCACCAGCGACGGTGATACCTATGCCTACGACTACATCCCCGCCAAAGACAGCAAGGAAACATTTCTCTTCATTCACGGTTGCCCGTCTTCGCGCTACGACTGGCGATATCAATTTAAGGACCTCTCAGAAGCAGGTTATGGAGTCATTGCTCCAGACTGTCTTGGATACGGCGATTCCGACAAGCGCGCTGACCTCGAAGCTTACAATTTGAAGCGTCTCAGTGGACACTTCATAGAATTGCTAGATCATGAGAAGATTGACAAAGTCATTGGTGTCTCACACGACTGGGGATCTATGGTCATGTCTAGGGTTGTTGTTTGGCATCCTGAGAGATTATCCAAGCTGGTGTTCATGTCGGCTGGCTATACAGCGCCTGGAGTATTCTTTGACATTGATGGGCTGAATGTCTGGAGTCAGAAGGAGCTTGGGTACATGCAGTTGGGTTACTGGTATTTCTTCAACTCATATGATGCCGAGCGACTTATTCTTGATCATGTATGTATTAGACCCAGTGCTGTTGAACTAATCCACTGACTTGCTGTAGCTAGAGTCATTCTTCCACCTGGCATACGCCGACGACAATGCCTTATGGATAACAGGTCTTGCAGCGATTAACGGAACACGAGAATGGCTGACCTCTGACAAGACATGTCCCCTCCCCCCATTTCTCACAGACCAAGACAAGACCCGCTGGCTCGAGATAAACAGACGCAAGGACACCATCAAGGGCCTGCTCAACTACTACCGCTCCCTCATGCGTGGGATCCAAGCAGAGGACGAGGATCCACTGATAGATGAGCAACGCATGCTCCAAGTTCCAGTTCTTGGTATCTGCGGCGGTGGAGATATGGTTACACGGGCGGATCAGATTGGGAGGGGTATCACACCATATGCGAGCAAGGGCTACAAAGAAGTGGTTCTCGAAGGAGCAGGACACTGGGTCATGCTTGAGAGACGAGCCGAAGTGACAAATGCCCTGCTGGAGTTTGTCCGTGAGGATTCATCATGAACTGCTGGGTTACAATGCTAGTTGCCACGGCATAGGGGAGGAGTAAGCGGGAATTTACAAAAGTACCAAATTATCTTGGAACCTTGGCTTGCATTATCCTCAATCAAGATCATAAGTTTGAGGGATTAGATTACAGTATGCATATGGGCCGCTGCATTCGTCCTTTTCTGATGTTCTCTGCCAAGATTTTTATTCTGCTGCCTTGTGCTATGCGGGGTGAAGGATCAACGCCCATGTTTTATCTACCTTAGGTATGCGGGGTAGCACTGTTGTAAGCGGGGGCCAGCTCTTGGGAAAGCGAAATCATAGAAATGAATCATGTCATTGGAGGGGCTAACGATTGACCAGAGAGGAGGAGTTGAAGCTTTGAGCTTCCAAGATCATCGTCCATGCTTGAGGGTCTGTCTGCTGAGACATTTGGGCTTCGGCCTGTCATATCTGGTAGTAACCTGCGATCGGACTTAACGATTCGGTCACTAATTGCTGTATCGAGCCGTGTAGGAGGCTAATTTCTTACTGCAGTTTTCTCTAGTTAGATACACATGCCGAGATCTATCTATGCCATTTCAAGCATGGTTCCTCTTCTTCAACGTAATGAGGAATCGTCCGCATGGCTCGTCAATAGTGACCTTCCGAACATTCTCCGGCCTCTTATCCAGTCTCTCAAAGTCATAATCCATAAGCAAATGCGTCAACGTAAGCTTAAGCAAGTTACTTGTGAAGAACCTTCCAGGACAAGCTCCCCTTCCAAGCCCAAAGTTCAAAAAATCCGGTGAGATGTCCGTCATCTTAGGGTGCTCCGGATCTTCCATTGATCGGCGGGGATTAAACCCGCCAGGGTATGTCCGCTCATCCCTCTGATAGGCCTTGATAGGTGCAGCAAGGATGGCACCCTGCGGCACATGGATGCCGTTGGAGAAAGTGAAGCCGCCCTGTTTACCCACGGCTCGCTCAATGCCCGTCTCGCCGATTGGGTTGTAGCGAATGCTCTCTCGGATGAGCGAGTCCATTAGCGTCAGCCTTTGGAAGAATTCATGTGAAAATGCATCGCCTTTGGCCATTTCCTGGCTTATCTCGGCACGCAAGTCGCTGATCATGACTTCGTAGTCGCCTGCGGGGAGTGAGATGAGGTCATATACCAGATTGGTCATTGTCACGAGGTTAGTGTACGATTGGACAAAGTTTAGAACCATCATCCTGGCGACGATGACCATTGGTTCGTACTCTGACGGGCCGTTGGGGTCCTTTTTGGCGGCCAAGATGATGGCGCTCAGCATGTCATTCTAGGAGATATCAGCCGCTGTCAAGAATAAGTGGTAGATCATGAATCTTACAGGCAGATCTGGTTCAATGTCCTTTTCTTCGGCTGCATCAATAATGGCCATACGCTCCTTCAGCACGGGCGTCGCATGCTTGGCAGCGGTCTCAATGCATCGCGACAGTGGGCGGCACATGTAAGGCAGTAGAAGCCTGTAGAGTGTCAGCATCCTATCATAACAAATAACAAGAAATCAATGTCTTGGTTCTGCTTACGGGCGAAGAAATGGTGGGATGAAGCGGGCGTACAGCGCTGACGCAAAGAATGTGGCGGCGTATTCAGCGGTAGCATCTCTGTACTCCTTGTTGTCACACAGAGGCTGACCTGAGATAATCCGGTTTGCAGATCTGCTGAGAATAGCACTGGCTGTATCCCACATATTTATCTGCACAACACCATTGGAGTCAAGCTTTGAGGCGACATTGTCATCTAGAGCAGCCTTCATCTCCTCGTTGACCATAGGCATTTTATCCGCGACCTTTTGGTAGAGCTCTTTGTGAACAACATTTCTGTAGACGGGATGAATGACGATGTGAGGACCAAGGGTAGTGTAATCAGGAACGAGGGCTTGTAGTGTGTATCTTTTGAGAGAAATGTCATTCTCGGGTTGTTTGACATATTCATTGAGGAGCTGCTTGGGCACCATGAGCATGAAGCCCGTGCTGCAGTGGGGGATTGGAACGAGCTGAATACCGCCATGGCCAGCTTCAAGTATCTAATCTTATAAGTTTTGGACCCAAAAATAAAAACGGCATAGCTGACCTTGCGATGAGTCTCTTTGAAGTACTCTCTAGACTTGAGAGCAACTTCATATGAGGCTTTCATGAATGTACCGACACCTTTCTTATCACCAGCCCAGTTGAACTTGTGGTAATCCTTAGAGAGCGCCGCTTGAAAAGCGGGTTGCATAAGGTGTAACAGCCATGCTGCGGTGGTACCAATGATTGTGTAAACAATAATCCGAGGCAGAAATGCCCGGACGGTGGTAGCGAGATCAACGGCCATTGTGACAAAGCCTGGGACTGGAAAGAATCATGAATTGTCCCAAAAGTGGAGGTCAAAGCTGCTTGTAAAGGTCTCGCTAAAGTGAGGAATGAGGCCAAGGGTAAAAGAACTTTGACTGAGTAAAGACCACAATATCTTGTTAATCCCCGCCCCACCTCGAGGATGCGACCGTCACTTTTTAGGATCCAACCCCAAGAACCTGAGTAGCCAATGGTTTCTGTGAGAATGCTGCCGCCTGGTGACGATCTATTTTGTTCGGTATGCAAGAGTCTTATTCAGGGTCGGATCGACTTCTTGGATATAACTTGTCATGATTCAGAGTCTGCTCCACGACTTCGCTTACATCACGAGGGCGGCCCCGGGGTGCCAGAAGACTTCTGACATTAAATTGAGGTGCCAAAAATATCTAGTCTAAGATCCTCTAAATCTATACTAAATTATAGAAAATTAATCTAAGCTTACCTAAGGACTTTTGTCACCTAAGATAGAGGTCCTAAGCTTTATTGCACGCCCTTGGGCGGGCAACCTTGCTCGGAGATATCCTTGTCACAGGGTGTCAGTGATTGGATGGCATTCATTGTGTGATGAAGGTTCAGTGATAACGTGGGAGGCTTGGGATGCTCGGGCCTGATGGGACTTCTGATGGCTCTTGGTCAATGACGGAACCGCTTGGCGAGAGGAGTTGGGTTGGAATGACCGTAGATCACTGGTAAGCTAGCTATCTGATACCCTAAGCCCAGAGGTGTCAGTGATTGTGCGCGTGAAATCATGGCAGCCCATCCTAAGTTGTATTTCCCTTTTCTTCTCGCCCTTATGACGTTTATTTACCGAATACCCTTTCTTTGACAACCTGTCCATCTGCTGATCACACTCTCGGCTTTGTTCAACATCAAACATGTCCAGGACGAATACCTTCTATAGCCTCGGTGTAATGCCTGCATTGATGGGGCTGGGGCATCTGGCTCCAGCCATAGGTGCTATACAGACTGCAACCGGCTCGTATCACTTTCCTGTGAGGCTACTCGGACTGATCGGTACTATATCAGCTGTCGTTGACTGCAAGTCATACTCTTGACCCTATTTAGCTCCATCTTAAGGACATGTTACTAATCATCCTCCCCTCCAGCCATGGATACCTACAAAGACCTCTCGCCATCAAACCGACCTGCAAAGTGGATATGGAACCTTTGGGTATATGGCCTCTGGTCCATCGTCCTGGTCTGTACTGCGACGCTGGATGTTCACACCATATACGACATATACCGTGTCCTACCTCTTGGTTTGGCTTGGGGCATCCCCTGCGTACCATTGTACACCACCTCGAAGGGCTGGATTTTAAGCAAACCCAAGACTCTTGTAAGTACAGTACTCAGTTTTCATCTGTTATATATCTCTAATGTTCCCAGCTATTTGAGGCAAAGTCATTGGTTGTGGCCTACTGTATGGCGAGTGTTTGTTCTGAAGCCAGCATGGCCTATTACTGTCGACAAGATGCGTTCCAATATACGGACAGGAATACACGGGCGAGAAGCTTTTATCTCGCCGTTTTGTACCAGTTCTTCCGTGAGACCTCTTGCGACATCAGAGATATTCCGGAAGATACCAAAGAAGGCCTAAAAACATTGCCTGTCAAGCTAGGCAAGCAGAACACGGTGCTACTCTTGGCTACGGTTGGCGTTCTAGCCGAATCAATTCTCACGCACGGCATCGATATAACAGCCACAGGAATTATCGTGAAAGCCCCGCTGATTGCCCGTGCATTCTTACGAGTTGGTTTGACGATGGCGGCGTATTGGCAAGTCTTAAGATTCCCCAGGCAGAATTCATGGGCTTGGGGATCTATGTCACTGCTGGGGCTGACTCCGGTGCTTTTTGCACAGGCTGCCCTTCGTGACTGAACAGCATCTCAAAGAAGATTCTGGAAATCGCGCAATTTTATCAACACTATATGAACACTGTGGTGCTAACAAGCGGGGAGTTCTGGTAATGTCCTTAGATATAGATAGCGATTGAATAGAGTGCAGTTCGCTCACATGTCAATGTGTCACAGTCTTCATCGGAGAAAGTGTCATCCTATATCAAGATCATCATTGAACAAAACAAAGCCGCTCTCTCATCTTAACCAAAAGCTGAACCGAAACTATCCAAGCTATCAGGGTCACAGTTTAGACGCTCTATCAGTATGGCTGAGCTGTTCAAGGTAATCCATCAAGTCTGTCCACATCTTCTGCGGCAACGAGTTTGAAAACCAAGTGTTGCCTTCATAATCCTTGCCAACCACCACAAACACGCTCGATATGGCGGAGACGGTATTATGTCCAGGATCAGAAGCTTGATAATACACAGGATGTCCCCTCTTCCCCCTTCTATTCCCAGGGCTTACCTCTTGCTCTATCGCGGGGCTGAAGTCCAACTTCTTAGCGAGATCTCCCTTGCTCCAATTCGACATAAACTGAGCAGCCATGTTGGTGCTTCCAAATACTACAGGCATGTTGTTTGTCCTCATAGACTCCACTGAGAGTGCCGTGGAGGCTTTCAGTTGTTCCTCTGTGGTCTGTGCTTGTATGGCCTCTCGCACTTGGAGAGCAAGGATCCCCAGTGGCAGGTCCAAGATCTCAGTGGCGCGACAGAACACAAAGGCATTGGTAGGAGAGTTCTGTACGTATGCCTTGTCTGGCAAGAAAACTGATCGGGCTCGACTTCGAGGGTCGACAGCCATGATAGTTGCCAGCTCTCGAGTCGTACCTCGGCCTTGGTACTTGGCTAACATGAGGCAAGAGAGAGCGGCGAAGACATCCCCCTCGCTGATAAAGGGTTTGCCATTTGTTGTTTCCTCTAACAGGTGGCCTCTCGCTTGCTGCATCATCCTGCTAACTGTTTCTTTCGGCATACACAGAGTCCGCGACTGAATGTTGCCGGATCTCCACGACTCATATAAGCTCCGTAAGCCCCAGACTTTGAAACGCCAGCCATCAATAATCTTGCCTGCGAAGACATGGCGCTCCTTGGGCGGCGATTTGATCATGTCGTCGAACACGTCTTTTCGATACCCCGGCATTGAGATGACAGCTTCTGGCTTCCCAGCAAGGACCTGACTCCAAGCCTCGAATATGGCAGACAGCCCCATCAGGTCAGTTGTTACATGGGAAAATGTCAAGTTGACAAGAGTGCCGTCTTTGAAAGTTTGAACATGGAGACAGAATTGAGGTATATCAGAATGAACAAAGTCATCCATGTTGCGAGGCGTCTCAGGGCGGAGTCCAAGAGCACAGAATTCTTTCGGTCCAGTATAAGTAGACATAGTACCAGTTGGCTTGGGTAATCGTGAAGCTAGCGGATGTTCTGACATTGGGGTGTCAAACTCTTCTTTGGTGAAATAAACTGCTGGCCGCTCTTCTGTAAATTCTCGCGGGACATGTATCTCGAGTCCGCCGTCTGACTGTATGCGGGTCAATAGTGACAAACTTGGGAGCGTTTTGAAGCCGTACCCTTTGGCGAAATCTCCCACCTAATCTCCGCCATCCGTCCATTTCAAAGAGCTTGGATAAAGCATCGTTCAGTTTGTTGGGGCATAATACGTCCTCGAACTGTAAAGTCCATACCAACACGATTCCCCGCGCCGCTGCAGTATCGTCGAACAAATGCACCGGAATGATGTCATCTGACTCAATAGTGCCCGGGAGAGGACGTTGCTCTTCTTTCTTGAAGAAGGGTAGGTAATTGAGCAAAACCGCCATTGCTGTTGAGATTGCAGATTTCGTAAATTGGTGCAGTGAATGCCATGAGGCGGGGGAAATTTGTTGGTCTGTACGTATCGCCGCCATGATAACAAGCGAAATGCCAAGCTAGATGGCAAGGTAGCATGCAGAGGATTACATTCCCTACTCTTCCTCTGTGGTGCGGGGTTTTCAGTGCCCCTCCTCTGCCCCGGCAAGGCAGCAGTTTAAGGATGAGCTAATCTTTTCAGAGGACAGAGCTCCTAGAGCGAGGTGTTTTGAATGGCTGACTAGCTGGAGGAGCTGGTGGAATTGGCTAAACGATGTTCGCCAAGTACAATGCGGAACATGAGTTGAAGCGGGGGCAGGCAGACACTTGCCATAGCTTGTTGTGCAAAGTATGAAGCAAATCACTACTGCTATAATTGACCTCTGAATAGTATCAGAAATAATTGCAGTGAACATACGGCTCGCTATGTTTGCCCGTGTTCTCTTATTCACGGCCCTGCTCGTTGTGCCTCTCGCTTACTTCCTATCCCACCAGACCTCAACAGAACATACGCCATATGTCCAAGGAAGAAACAAAACCGTGCTCTTCCTCACAAACAGCGAGCATGGTCTATCCAATGTGCATCTTGCAACTGCATCAGCATTACTGGAGAACTATTCAGATATAGAAGTTCATTTTGCTTCATTTCCGGCCATCGAGCAAAAGCTGGAACGGGTTTCCTCGTTCGCCAAGATTAAAACTCCGCATGCTAGAACCATTGTCTTTCACGGTCTCACAGGTCTGACATTTGTGCAGGCAATCGCCAAAGAAGGCCGAAGCTTCATATCCCCGCCCGGATGGAGAGGTATCGCTACTTTGGCCGAGCACATACAGCTCTGGATATCGCCATGGACTTTTGAAGATCATGTACACTTGTATAATGAGCTTGTTATCATTATCGATGAGGTTGACCCGGCTGTTATTGTGCTCGACAGTTGGTTCCGACCAGCAATAGATGCCGCGCGCACAAGAAATAGGCAACATGCTTTCATCACGCCAAATACTCTTGTAGACCACTTCTTGGGCATTCAGCCGTTCTTTACTAGGCTCTGGAAATACCCTGCGTAGGTCATCTCATCCAAGAAATCAACTCACACTAATAGCAATAGCCCGTCGTCAGGGTTTCCCTTTCCAGTTCCTTGGCTCAAGCTGCCGGAGAACATATACATGAATATTCGATATATCTACGGCGCAACGTTTACGCCAGATATGTCAGAAAAGAAAGCTCGACTTAAACAGATTGGACTGAGAGAACCAATGAATTTGTTCGGAATACATCGACCGGGTGTTCCGTGGATTACTCAAAACACGCAAGGCGCCATGACCCCAGTAGAGGTTCTTCCACCAAACGTCACCTGTGCTGGGCCGATTATTCTGTCGGGACCAGCGGCTGAGCAACAGGATCCTGAAACAGCAACTTGGCTAAAGAAAGCTCCTACAGTGCTCATTAACCTCGGCAGTAATCTCGCTGTAGGTCTTAAAAGTTACAGGAAATGCAATGGCAGCTAAAGTTTGGTAGTATGACGAAAGCCGTGCTGAAGTTATGGCGGTCGCCATAGCATCGTTACTATCATCTACTGAGAATCAGGTCTTGTGGAAATTCAACAAGCTAGGAGACTTCTCTGATGATTTCCTGATGCACTTGAAGCCCTACCTCGACAGCGAGCGACTAAAGATGCCAAGTTGGCTAGTAGCAGACCCGTCATCACTTCTCGATACTGGAAATATTGTTACTTCAGTGCATCATGGCGGCTCGAACTGCTACCATGAAGCCCTTGCGTAAGTAAATGCTCAAGACTGTACGGCAGGCCATTACTGACCAATGTTAAGGGCTGGTGTTACGCAGGTTATACTTCCGCTGTGGGCCGACCTCTACAACTATGCTGCTCTAGCGGAGGCAAGAGGCATTGGGGTTTGGGGTTGCAAGGAATCAACGCCCAATTGGACGAGTGAGTGCTTGTTGGGTGCTTTCATGAGAGGAATAGATGGCTGTGGTGAGAGTTTCTTACAGCGACGAGCAAAATGGCTGGGTAATAGGATCAAAACAGGGAAGAGGGGGCGTGATGTAGCAGCTGATGAGATTGCGAAACTGGCGTACGTGAAATGATGAACTCAAGTACATACAATGGATGCACGCGCCTCAATCAGGACTACCTGTAGAGTGGTGCGTCCGATTCACTAACCCCCCCGTAACTGAGGCGATACGCCTGCGATACGCTTACCGCTAGTAATACGCCTCGAATACGCGATACGCCGACCAAGATCAGCGTATTCTTTCGACGGGATTAGATGCAAAAATGGAAGATACCGCAGTAATAAAAGAAATTAAAAGCATTAAATATGTGCATTTCCCCCTGGTTATAGAACAATAATTACTCGAAACCCCAAGTAGTACTGTCTTGTAGAATGAAAGCTTTTCTTTTTTCTTCAGCGTTCTTCGCAATCGCGGCCTCTGCACTGCCAGATCCAAAGGGCCATGAGTTCCGTGCCGCCGGGCCTTATGACAGTATGCCTTCCATATCAATTGGAACATCTAGCCAAAATCCTAATATTGTGTCTTACTACAGGTCGGTCGCCATGCCCAGGCCTAAATGCTCTCGCCAACCACGGTTACCTTCCACGCGATGGCGCAAACATCAATTACGACATGATCAACCATGCAGCCCAAGCCGCTTATAATTTCGAAGATGGCTTCTACATCGATGCCGTCAACATGGTGTTTCAGCTCAATATTTCTACCTCAAACCGACCCAGCGAAACATTCCATCTCCGAGACCTGGCTCAGCATGACCAGATCGAGGTCGATGGCTCTCTCACTCGAAACGACATCTTCTTTGGTGATGATTTGCACTTCGATGCTACTGTCTTTGATCCCGTGTCACGCGATCTTGGGCTGAATAATATCAGCCGTAAAGACAAGTTCGTAACAATCGAAACTGCGGCCAAAGCAACCAAAACTCGGCTCGACCTCGCCAAACGTGTCAATCCGGAGTTTAATGCTTCCGTGCATCAGCGTCAGACCGAATACGGCACTACTGCGCTCTATCTTTTGACTGTGTGGGATGAACAACAAAAGGCAGCACCAAAGCATTGGGTCAAAGCATTGCTTGGTAAGACCGCTCTCCGTCACTTGAGGCCTGATATCATACGCTAACGAATTGTAGGCGAGGACAGGATCGCGTACAGAGAGGGATATAACAAAGGCAAATCGGTCAAGACGAATAAACAAGTCGGTGCTATGACTCAAGCTATTCGAGCGGTGGTTGGGTGGAAGCCTTAACTGAGCTTGAAAAGACGGTTCTGCCACCTTGCCTTGAAATGAACAACATGTATCGGTGGACGACATAATATGCACCGCGATAAGATATTATTATTAACTATAAGTTATGTTCTTAATATTATTATAGAAGTACGTTATGGAACTGTGCAATGGAACTGTCTGATGGAAAAGGTTTAGGAAGCATGCTATGGTAAGTAAATATAGTATTGAGTTTTAGTTCTATTTATTTATGCCTTCAGTATCCCATAACTATGTACCTCATGATACTGTCAGTGTGCTGATTCGATGCATCGCATGGTAGTACGGTGTTATCGGGCGCCAGCATGAACAATGGGGGTAATGTCGAGCCATCGGACCAGCCAACGCCATAGCGCCTATAGCAACGATCCAGCTCGCAGCTGTGAAGCCATCTCCCATCCTATCGAAACGGATGGTATAGTAAATACCCAGAACACCACTTCCGACAACGACGAGGGCCATGATAGAGCACATGATATAGCATGGTCGCCGTCGAAACCTGGAAGGCCTTTCTGTGGGCACATCGGTGCTTTCGAGAGGGCTGGGAGGTCGTGGAACTGGTGCTCTGACCGATGGAGGAAAAAGGAGCGCACGGCGTGAAAGTCGGCCTCTGTTCAGGGACCTTCCGGTTTGAATGGCGTCGTTATTGGAGCCATCAATCTGTGTCTGTGTGTTTCGCATATCTTCTGGTTACGGTAAGCATCATATGAGACTGAATGAGGGTGTTGCTTCCCACCAATTTCCGATATCCACAGCTGCATTACATTGACAACTTTCTGGAATCCCGCGTCATGAACGGATTTGAAGCGCACCATGTCTATAAGACTGGTATTGATGGGAATAGGTTCATCGCCTGGTAACGTCGCTGACTCTATTGAAACGGTGAGTCCAATGTTGCTATACAGGGTCTCTCGAACGAAAGACTGAAAGACTGTGTAACGATCGGCCTGCTCCTGTCTCGCTGGTCTTCTATCAAAGCTCTGAATCTCTCTTGGGTAACCTCGGGCAACACTGAATCGGATTCGAGTTCGGATAGTTGATAGTCCTTTGTGGTAATTGGAGACACAAACAATGAAGTTGCAAGGCCTCTCCAGCCAGATATTTGTAATCTTTTATGGGGAGTTCCTATAAACATGATTCCTTTCAGGCTCATGTATACACCTTGGAGGTGGCTATTGGCATTATCTCGTGACATTAGCACAGCCAACTTGCAGATTATACCACCCAGACTGTGCGCGACTAAGATTAAAGGCCGCGATGATGCAGTACCCGCGGTCCGTTCCATCGTCAAATCAATTAGAAGATTATTTGCTGCGCGATCAGCGGGGCTCTCTCCAGTTCTCAGCGAGGTTTTCAACGCATCCCCATTGTATCCATAAGTGAGAACACGGACTTTGTCGAGCTGTGACGGCAGAAGCGTTTTTGGCCATGGCTCTAACTCCCCTTCCGCTGTCCATGTCCTCACACGATCTCCCATCAAGCCATGTACAAAACAGATGTCGACGGCAGCACCAGGGTCATCGTGAAGAGTTATGATGCCCTCTGGAGAACCTTGCCTCGTGAATCCCGGGGCAGAGATAATACTGTCGATGCCTGGAGGAGGAAATGCGGTGCCGGTAATATCTAGTAGACGAGTAGCGTGATGTGGTCGTGATGCAGCTCGCGTAACGCGTATGGAGGACCCTCCATCGTTCAGGATTGGATATATGCGAAACCCGTTTGATACAAGTTGCGGGCCCAATCTTGTGTCGAAGATATGTATATGAAAAAATCAGAAACGGTCGATGAGGGGAAACGCTATCTATCTTTCAGCCTCACGAAACGTCTGAGCTGAAGCCTTACAGTTCGGTTATAGCCAATCATGTACCAGATTTAGCCGCCGAGGCAGAATCTCATCTCGTGCGTATCACGATAAGTTAGAACAGTCGCCCAAAACATTCATAAAATGGCCATTACTCAGTTTATCCGGAAACCATGCCAAATGAAAATAGGCTGTTCAAGTTCTGTCTTCCTAACTCGTCGCAAGACAGTCACATACTCCTCCTCATTATTGCGAAATGGCCACGATGAAGGAACTCCTCTCTACCACCTTGCCTGCAATGGACAACCAGCATCAACGCACTAAATAATATGCATGGCGATAAGAAGTTATCGCCCTGCATTTCCTTTGAGTAATTCGGATTCAATGACGTAGCGTGACGTCTTCAGTACGTGCTCATGACGCCCTATCACTGACGATATTACCACTTGACTCGCCTTCACATGAACCAGATCAAACCTCACTGCAACACCATCACCATGCCAAAAACAGCCGTCGTCAGCGGGGGAGCCCGTGGTATCGGCCGCACCCTCGCACGTTACTTCCTCGAAAAGCAGTATCGCGTATTCATCCTCGACATAGACGAGCAGGAACTCGCTCACACAACGCGCACCCATCTCAAGTCCTACTATGACTCCAAAGCCGTCGATTCGGCCATTTGTGACTTGCGCAACACAGATGAGATTTACGAAAAGATTCAGCAAGCAGCAAAGTTTCTAGATGGCCATATCGACGTCGTCATCAACAATGGCGGTATTGCGTCACCGCACTGGAAAGATGGCAAGACTATGGTTGACAAAGATACGCTGAAGGAGTGGCAAGCGTACATTGAGACGAATCTTACGGCGCCGTTTGTGGTATCGCAGGCTTGTATCCCGTTCATGAAGAATGAGAAGGATACAGAGCCTGTGACGGATGATAGCCACAGCACTGCTGGGCCTTGCATCATCAACATAGGATCGTTCCGCGCAAAGCAGAGCGATCCAAATCAAGAGGGCTATGCCTCTGCAAAGGCTGGTCTGCTGGGTCTCACGCATAGCATGGCTGTGAGCCTGCAGCACTTCGGGATCAGGGTGAACTTGGTGGCACCAGGTCGAATCAAGGCTGGTCATGAGTCGAAAGAGGGCGATGAGAAGGGTATTGAGTGGGCGCATTTGAATGAGGATAAGGACGTGGAGGATCACCTAACGAATAGAGCTGGAAGACCGTTGGATATTGCTCAGGCTGTTGAGTATATGGTCAACGCCGGCTTTGTAACAGGTCAGGATCTCATTGTCGATGGAGGCGCAGTCATGATCAAGTAATCCAAGTACATCCAAAAGTCATCACGTCACAGTCACGAGAGAAACAAAAGTGATCGTAATCATTCATATTCATATTATACTCATACAGAGCATTAGCGTTAAAGTATTTCTTTGAGTGGAGTTGTGACTGTTTCATCAGTCAGGGTATAAGATAGGCTTCTTCCAAAGCCGCATTAGTCGGTTGAACCGTCCAGGAATCTTTCATCCTACAAGTTCATGTTCAAGTATTTGTGAGTGGAGATGTTGTGTCATAGATCAAAAAGCACCGCTTTGATCATCCCAGAAAAAAGACGAACGCCTCATGTACTGTTTGTTCCTCGCTTAGTCGACACCGCTGTCAGAGTCGTCAACAACAGCCGGCTTCGGCTTGGTCTCTGTAGCTGGGGCTGCAGCTGTAGCTAGTCTCAGGGGGCCCAGGGCGGGGCCGAGTCGTGCTCCTGGGGCGGGCCACTTGTTGGGACCGAGAATTTGAGGCTTGTTTCTGTGATGGTGTTAGCATGAGATACTAGAGATGGTAAGGGAGATGGGGGGACATACGCTTGCTCCTCGGCGGCAGCATCCTTCTTCTTTTGCTCTTCCTTTTGTTGCTTGCGGAGGGCACGACGAGCGTCCTTTTCCTTGCGCTCAGCAGCGCGCTTCTCCTTCTCCTCGATACGCTTCTTGGCCTCGGCCAGCTTGCGCTCCTTCTCCTGGACATCAGCGCGTCTCTTCTCATCAGCCTTGCGCTTCTCCTCCAGGCGCTTCTTCTCTTCGAGCTTTCGCTCTTCCTCAATACGTCGCTCCTCTTCAAGACGCTTCTCCTCCTCGATTCTCTTCTTCTCCTCAAGTCTCTCACGCTCCTTCTCCTTCTCGCGCTCCTCAGAGGCCTTTCGTCGACTCTCAGCCTTGAGCTTCTTCTCTGCAAGGCGACGCTTCTCTTCGACCAACTTCTTCTTCTCCTCGAGCTTACGCTTCTCCTCAGCGCGTTTCTTCTCTTCAGCACGTCGCCTGTCCTCGGCTCTCTTCTTCTCATCAAGCTTCTTCTGCTCCTCAAGTCGCTCCCTCTCACGCTCCTTCTCCATCTCCTCAATCCTCTTCTTCTCTTCGGCCTTTCGCTTCTCCTCTAAGCGGATGCGTTCGCGCTCATTCTCCTTCTCACGTTCACGCTCTCTCTGCCGTTCCTCTTCTCTCTCGCGCTCCTTCTCATGCATCCTCAACTTCTCCTTCTCAGGATCTGAACCTGGACTTGGAGTCTTGATCTTCATTGAGGCTCGGGCTGATTCGTAGTCCTTGTACCGGTCTCTTCGGTTGTCGTTGTCAAGTTGGCTGAGATGTCGGCTATGGCGTCGCTCTCTTGCGCGCTCTGGATCAACACTTCTCGTGTATGACCTCTCTTTCTCGCCACGGTCAGAGTCACTGTTCTTGGGGGTAGCTGCCTTGCGCTCGTTGTGTAGTCGTCGACGCTCTGCTCTCCGAGCCTCCCGATCCTCATCGCGAGGTTTGTCCTCTGCAGGAGCGCGAGGAGTGTGGCTATGTGAGGCTCGTGAGTGCTCACGACTACTCTTGTGTCGCCTCTCACCATCCACGCGACTAGATCTTCTCTCACGTTCGGCATACTCAGGATCGCGATGCCTGATGGAGGCAGAGGTAGAGTGTCTCTTGTCAAGAGTAGGTCGTTCTCTCATAGACCTGCGCTTCTCCCTCTCTCTCTCCCGTTCCTTGTCCTCTTCGTCACTTCGTCCAAGGAACCTCCGTGAGAGGCGACGAGACTCTTTCTCATCGCTTCTCACTTCTCTCTCCTCACCCTCGCGTCGCTTGTGTCGTCTGTGTCGCGTGCTTGGACTGCCTGCTCGGCTTCTGTCACGAGTATGGCGGTCCTT